ATGTATTCAAATTTGATAACAATAACAATATGAGCAATAACAATCAATAACAATAACAATACACATAACAAAATATTGCACTAAAATCGGTCTTGTTCAATTTGGTTTTAAAATGATATGTTGATGTCTTCCAGAAGGCTAAACATTTTCATATTTATCATTCTTTCTGATCCTTTGTAACTTTCAAGATGTTCTTGAAAACCATTCTAACATGCTGTACATTTTAAACCATTTTTAATAACAGTTACAGGAATATATCTTCTACTTGAACTTCCAGTCTTACAAGGTGATAAGAAATGATATTGGTATCTTCCGGTATTTAATTGTTGAAGATTTTCTTTAAGTCTTGATAATCTCATCTTCATTTCTGTAGTTCTAACATCAGTTTGTTTTGATTCTGTTAGACCTGATAATCTAGTCTCAGTCTGATTTCTTAAAACAGCAAAATGTGAATAACTTTCAGTAAAAGTGGCAGCCATTTTGAATTTAGAATATAAAAGTTATGAATATTGAGAGAAGTTGAGATATATAATGACAAGTGAACCGATATCTAGATATTTATATGTGAACTCTGTTAATCAAATTCTGTTATAGCTTACTGTAATGATAGATACTGATTTCAAAAGTTTTTAACAGATCAGTCTGCTGTAGAACAAATCAAAATCAATCAATAGGTCTGGGTAGTTTAGCTTTACTGTCTGAAACTTGATTGAATCTAACTTAATGATTAACTGAGTAATCCTACTAGAACATGTTTTAATTGCATATATTCAGGGTAAATCAAATTCAATGAAAAGGTCTGGGTAGGTTTGCTTTACAGTCTGAAATTTGATTGATCATTGACTGGAACTAACCTAATAATTAACTGAGTAAGCCTATTTCAATATGTTTTAATTGCATATATACAGTGTAAATTAAATTAAATTAGCAGAAAAGTACTTTAGTCTCTAAAATTTGAACACAGATCATTTGATTGCTACTAGTTTAGCTAACAATCTATGTGATTGTATATATTCACTTTAAATCAAATTGAATCAAAAAGTCTGGGTAGTATAGCTTTATTGTCCGAAACTTGATTGAATCTAGATCATTTGATTGAAACCACTTTACTTATACCCAACTATGTATTTAATGGTTTCTGAATAAAACTTACAGACTAAATAAATTGAGTAAGACTTTTTCATCTTGATTAATATTAAGTTTTAATCAACAATCAAATGATGAACCAATTTCTTTAACAAACCAAGAAAGCCTCACATATTTCAAAGGGGAAATACCTTATCTTATTGTGAAATTTAATGAAAATGATTTTTTAATTTTCAAATAAAACAAGCATGATTTTAAGTTGTGAAATATAGAATAAACCTGTTTTTTAACCATCATAAATAAAACTACCTGCTTTTGAACTGTAAGTCTGTTTTTGAATTGTATGATAATAGAACAAGTCTGTTTTTGAACTGTAGAAAATAAAGGAAACCTGTTTTTTTAATTGTTAAGAAAGAAATAGAACAAGCCTTTTTTGAATTGTGAAAAATAGAGCAAGCCTGATTGTGGGATTGATTTGCGTGATTAAATTATATAGATCCAATCTTAAATACTATACTTTGATTGAATCAAGTAATCAATCAGAGAAATGTTTTGATTATTAATGTCTAATCTAATCAATAATAAAGTAAACACTGTCATCATTGAATATCAATGACATGAGTAAATAATGTTCACATATAAATATCTAGATATCTGTTCACTTGTCATTTTATATCTCAACTTCTCTCAATATTCATAACTTTTATAATCTACATTCAAAATGGCTGTCACTTTTACTGAAAGTTATTCACATTTTGCTGTTTTAAGAAATCAGACTGAGACTAGATTATCAGGTTTAACAGAATCAAAACAAACTGATGTTAGAACTACAGAAATGAAGATGAGATTATCCAGACTCAAAGAAAATCTTCAACAATTAAATACTGGAAGATACCAAAATTATTTGTTATCACCTTGTAAGACTGGAAGTCCATGTAGAAGATATATTCCTGTTACAGTTGTAAGAAATGGAAGAAAAACAACCATCTGCTGAGAGAGACAGAGAAATAGAGATTCACCAATTCCTTCTTAAATATTAACAAGAAGATATAGTGCTAATGAAACCAGATCTGTTATCTTATATTTGTTATCCTATAAATTGTTTTGTTTATTTGAAAATAAAACAAAAAATTGCTGAGATAGAACAGAAATAGACCTACACCTGTAACAACTGAATATAGAAGAACAAGAAGATATAGTGCTAATGAAATTAGAATTGTTATTTTGTTATTGTTTGATATTGTTATTGTATTTGTTATTCATCTGAAATTAAAACTTAACCAAACTATACTGTCTGATATTCTTTTCTAAATGAAAAATTCTGTCCTTTTACTATGTCTGTTCTTCTAACCTCTATCAATGACAACTGAAAACCAATTTGTAAAATTTGAATAAAGATACTGCCTCAAGCTCTTCAAACCTTTTATAGTGCTATTCAATTTGGACTCTATTAACTATTTTGCACTATAGAAATTAATACCTTTATTCTTCTAGAACAGAATGTAAAAGTTTTCCTAATTACAGTTACACCTAAATACCCAAAATATTGAAAATCAAACAATATTATATCAAATAGATCACAAGAATAAAATATGCTTTTAATATCTTATTAAATTCCTGCAATTCCACTATTTAAACTAGGTGTTTGATGACGGCACTAATGACAAAGGGCCTTATGTGACATAATCAAGAATCACAGAAACCTGCCTGAAAATTGCAATGGTGTAAAATTTTGCTATCAGTGTCCCAAAAGCACATGAACAATTAAGAAAACCTCTTCACAATTTATTTAGATAAATGTCATGTAATGATTTGATACTGATAGCTGAAAAGTGTTCACCATAATTAATCAATTTATCTTATATTACTTGATATAACTTAATCATTTCATCAATATGACAGAATAATCATTACTAATGACAGATAACTAGTCTTATATTTTATAACTTATATAAATATCTTTATAACTTATTCCAAATCATTATTATAACAACATTATCTTATTATAATATAAACAACATTATCAACATGTTTCCAGAATCTAGAGATAATTTATATTGTGAAACTTGTAATTCCTGTAATACAAGTTTCTTTTCTGAAACTCCAGTTATTTGTAAAAGTAACAAGTTTTGTCAAGTTGTAGAAACTGATACAGTTGAATTCAAGAAGAAATTAGTCAATAAGAAAATTGATAGAAGATTAAAAGAAATTCAGAAAAGAAGACAGAATATAAGAATGATTAATGATAATTTAAAAATAGAAGAAATTCAGTTACAGTATCAACTAAGAAATTTTGTGAATCGTAGTGATCCAGAAACAGTTCCAAATAACAATAATTTTACAACAGTAAGTGATCCAGAAACAGTACCAAGTACCAATTACTCTACCAGATTTTGTGATCCAGAAACAGTACCAAGTACCAATAATTTTACCAGATTTTGTGATCCAGAAACAGTACCAAGTACCAATAATTTTACAAGATTTTGTGGGACTCGTACAGTATCATATCATCATGGTAAAAAATATGAGAATTTACCTCAGTCTTGTATTTTAACAGAAATAAATGATGATGATGATGTCTTACCAACTAAATGTATCAATGGTTATAAATTAACTTTATGTTAGATTATGAATTAAATTATAATTATTGTTATATTACTGTGATATTGTTATTATTAATGTTATATTTTGGTTATTAATTATATATTTTATAATATTGTTATTATTTGTAAATAAATTATACAATGATTCACTATATTTGAAAATTTAAGTAAAGATCTAGAAATGGATTTTTGATGTGAGCTATATTTTATGTACATTGTACAGCTGGAAGATGGAATAGGGGTGGTTCTTTCACACGAAAGTCATTGATTTGAAAGAAAGTTATCCATATCGGGAATTTAGTTACGTGGAAAATGGATAATGCATAATACCTATCAAATTGAAAAAAACAACACCTTTAATGATGTGTCTTCATTTTGATTAAATTCTGCAGTAGTCGTTGGCCATTTTTATCATGATATCAGAATATTATTTTTATATTTTCAGAATTTTAGCTCAGCATGAAGATCTCACTATGTTTCTTCAGGGTCCAGAATTGTCTGATTTGGTAAGTGATGAAAAAATCGCCATATTTAATGATCAGTATTTCTTTATTTACAAATTTGTACCATATCTCTTTACTTGAGTAAAATTGAAATGTGATTAAATAGATGTTTTGTTTTGAGTTTTTTCTGTGGGTGACTCCATATGGCATCCTTGATCTAAGGAACTGTTCTGGGTCCTATAATCACAAGTTCTGTTCATTAAAAGATTCCCTTGATCTGTATTATATTGTCGAATGACTACTTTTGGTTTTGGTTGAACATTCCACAGAACACGATAAAAGAAAGAATCTTGTCAGATCATGGATAGGAAGTGTGGTGACCAGCAGAAAGGGATAAAAATCATGAAAGCAATGTCAAAATATTTCAAAAGAAATCAGTAAATATGACATACTTAGAGCCACGTTTTCTACCTGTGACACTGAAGAATATTAAAAAAATGTTTTGTAGATATCTGATTACTATTATAATAGACCAGAAAGTAGACAACTAGCTCTACCAGGACCACCTACTCCACGAGGTACTACTGCTAGTACAGTATCTACTAAACAATATCCTATACTACCAGATATACCAAGTCGTCGTCATAGCGATACCTCCCAACCTGCAGAACCATCAGCAGAACAAGAAGAAGATACACAGCTAGTTAGAGCTAACAGGTCAGTTTTTGTTTGGATTGATGAAACCATAATTCTCAAAAGCCATAAGGGTCCTGTTTTATACTTTGAAAAGATGATAACAGAACTCTCAAATGGCATCAGAATTTTCTTATCACCTGAGCCTGCTGGAATGACTGAACAATTCCACTGCTAATCTCTTGCAGACAACAATTTAATTGAGGTCAATAACTGCTCTCCAAAATTTTTTGGTTACTGGTTTGGTAGATGATGCATGAGGTAAATTCTTAAATCTTCCCTTTTTTGGAAATGTTCATCCAGTTGATTAAGTTGTAATCAATACCAATTGCATGGGATCAGATGACCCGAGTTGTATTTGGTGATTATTGCCCTTGGTATTATGCAAGTAATTTCTATTACAGTGATGTGACATCAGACGGTAAAGTTCGTATGATTATGGAGAAACCATCTACACCTCTTCCTTTAACAATGAATGAAGTTATGCAGCATTATAAAATTATCGTAAGTATCAAGTATCAATTCTAAGGAGGCTTGCTTTGAACTGTATAATGATATTTTAGTGTAAGCTTACACAAAGAAGACAGATATTAGGAATTGTAAAGAGGTTTTCTAAAATTTGTATGTGTATCAGGGACACTGATAGCATCAATTTGTACCATTCCAATTTTCTTGCCATTAGGTGTTTATTACATAGCTATCGCTCTTAGATATTATTAGCAGTTTATCCAATAATGACATAATTATTTCTTAAGCATTTCTTTGATTATTGGAAACACAGATATCTTTAGATTTTGGTGTATAGTTTTCACAAATTTGAGCCAAAATTTTGTTCGAGCTACAAAAACAGGGCAATGTCCCTTTAAATACAAACCCATTTTCAAAGCAGATGACCTAGTTTTGCATCCAAAACAATATAGTATGATAGCATAATTGCTAATATAGTCAATTAATAAAGAAAAATTAATTTCTTTTACAGGAAGCGAAAGGCCTTAGTTCCAACTGGAATAATTATATGCATGTCGGAAAAGCTTCATAATGTTAGACTTAATACCAAAAAATGGAGCCAATTTCATTCAGATTTAGCTGAATTTGTGAAATAACCTCTGAACCATTTTTAAATATTTTCTATTTTGTTTACATTGTAATCTGTGATAGTTAATAAAATATAAATTGTAATCACCCTGTTTGATCTCTGTGACTCATGAAGGCTTTAGTTTGGAATTAGGCAATGATCAAGCAATTTTCACCAAAAGGATACTCCCATCAAATTTTACAGATTTTTGGAGTTTTCTTTTCAGTTTTGATGGGAATGAGGAATTCTTTGCTGTTTTACAGTGTGATTGCATAAAGGCCTTGATCACTAGGCAAATTGCACTTATAAAGTCCATCCTGAGATTTTCTTTCGAAACGTGGCAGACAAAACTAGATGACAAACATATTTTGATTTGAGAAGGGATACAGGTGGCCCACATTGAGTGCCAGCTGAATTAAAATTTAGATGACTATTTCCCTATAGATAAAAATTATGCAATTTAAAGAAACAATTTCATTTAGATATAAATTTATTTCAGAAAAACTTTAAATATTATTCTATTATTCTACTCATATTATTCAATAACAAAAACTCATATTATTCAATAACAAAAACTCTATATTATTCAATAACAAAAACTCATATTATTCAATAACAAAAACTCATATTATTCAATAACAAAAACTCTATATTATTCAATAACAAAAACTCATATTATTCAATAACAAAAACTCTATATTATTCAATAACAAAAACTCATATTATTCAATAACAAAAACTCTATATTATTCAATAACAAAAACTCATATTATTCAATAACATTTCAAAAAAAAAAACTGAATAAATTAACAACATGATGATAAACAGTAACAAAAACAATAACAAATTTAATAATATGTAATAAATAATAACTTAATAAACATTGGATCTTGAATCAGCAACAACTATAAAACAATTGCTTATCATCAATCACCAACAAATAAAACAGCTGCATATCCTGAATCATCAACCACAATAAAACAGCTGCTTATCACCAATCACTATAGAGCAGCTGATTATCCCGAATCATAGAACAGCTGCTTATCCTAAATAACCAACCATTATTAAACAGCTGCTTGAATACCCTATAAAACAGTGGCTTCTTCTTCATCACAATTCATGACAGAACAGCTACTCCTGTATCCCATATTAGTATGTTTATTCCTCTAAAGATGTAGTTGCAGGTTTATTACTTTCAATATTAGACAATATTTCACCATATACCGTATTCATCTGAAAATGTCAATGCTTATCAAATAGAGTTGCAAAGTTTTAAATGCTGGTCAATCAGTACAAAGGTTACAAAATAAAAATTGCCCTCATCCACTGTACACGTAGCACAATATGCATGTAAAATGTACATTAATTTATCTATAATCTATATCATATTCACAATCTATCTTGGGGCCAGTATCCCATAGTCTTAGGAGACAGGGGGCTGAAGTAGCTGCCAGAAATATATATCTACAAGACAATGATAACTTTCAGGCAATATGGAAGAAAAGTCAGTAATTTTTTTTCCATTGACAGGAATGACTGGATGCTGATATTTGTATGATAAGTATGATCACCCTATTTGAAATATACCTACCTTATCCTGATAATTTCCTTTCATACTAGGTAATAAAGATAATAGATGTAAGCCTACACCACACCATCTTTCAGCTTCATCAAAATTACCAAATCTACATTAAATATGAATATTAAATCAATATTGCCCTCCATGTACCATTGTCTTTACACTTTCTAGGTTTTCATTAAAGAAATAGAAGTTCTTGCCTATACCTATTTTTTTCAAATTATACTTCCCCCATTTATGGCTGGGACGACTGCAATAATGATAATGATGTGAAAGATGACTTATTAAATAAAGGCCATTGGACTTGCACGCACTGACCAAGATAAGAATCAATGTCCACCATTTGATTGACAAAACAAGCAAATGATTGTTTGAACATAAGGCCGATAACTTAAAAAAAAAACATGAAAGGATACGCACAAGTCAAACTCATCCAAAATTTGACCATTAAACATAGGCTTATAGTAGAAAAAATGACTGATGTGTTCAAAGCCTTACCTATAAAAATGGATGCCACAGTTCCAAGCTTTAGTCATTAACCACACTATTTCCATTTCAGGATATTCTTCCTTAAAAAATAAACAGCACAACTGGATATTAAATTTATTAAAATTTTTCAAAGTAACAGCAAAATGTCCTCCATATAGATGAGATCAAATTTGATGAGTATGAGATGAGCTCTAGTCAATTAAATATGAGGGTCTTTGTGCTGTAGAATATTCTCCGTATTTACTTCTTACTCCTGTTCAGGGAGTTTTCATACTTTGCTCATAAGCCTAGAGTCCAATTTTGCAAAGTAAACCATCCATCAGTCTTGGTTACTGTGTTGCTCGATCTACCTTTACCTTAGCTCTATTTTCAATAACATCAATGGTTTCTTTATAGTAATTCATAGTTTCTTCTTTTATAATATTATCACATGTAACATCTCCTATAGACATCTGTATTAAACTATGTATATCTTTACTAAAACACAAAAATCACATTATAATATTATCACATGTAACATCTACTATAGACATCTGTATCAAAATATGTATATCTTTACTAAAACACAAAAATCACATTATAATATTATCACATGTTACATTTCCTATAGACATCTGTATTAAACGTTGTACATCTTTACTGTAGAACAAAATCACATTATAATATTATCACATGTAACATCTACTATAGACATCTGTATCAAAATATGTATATCTTTACTAAAACACAAAAATCACATTATAATATTATCACACGTAACATCTGCTATAGACATCTATATTAAACTATATGTTGACTATGTGAACCTTACCTAAAAGCTCAGAAAATAATAATCCAGGACTCATTTGATAAAAGACCTACCTGCATCTAGTATAGTCTGGTTGTTGTAGTTGTAAATGAGTTCTAATTGCTAGTTTCAATGCTTTCATACTTATATCTTTATTATTAGCTGGGGCTTCTATAGATACGGCTGTAATCATAAAAGGTTAATGTTATATGGAGAAAAAAGCACACCAAAGCTAACTGTGAATTTTTTTACAAAACAGGGCATTTTTAACTTTAAACCAGCAATGTAAACTGATAAAATTTAGACAAACCTGCAATGATTTCAAAAGTTTTAGAATCTGGTTGAGGCAATGACAGGAGTTTTTCAAGCAGTTTGTCAGCCAGCTGATCGCCTAGTTTTACTCTGGCTTCAAATTCACATAAAACTAATAACATATCAGAATTCTCTTTTATACTTTGATCTAAAATATCATATCTTTATCATATATACAAAACATCTCAATACTGTCTAAAATACTGAAAGTATTCAAATTATAAGGTTTTCCGGCCTATGTATGGTCTTCGTGGAAACTTGTAGCTATATGTGAAATTCAAACCGTTCAGTTGAAATCTTCAAGGGCTAAAAAAGAGATCTTCTAGACTATGTATGGTACCTTAACACTTATAGCTATTATTTGTATTGTTAAAATGGTTTTGCCATACTGAGTGAGCTCATAATTTGACATCTTCAGACAATAACTAATAACGACCTGAAATATCTATATGGAGGTAAGTAAGGATCAGCAAGCCTTTTGACCTTCAACAATGCTTTCATTGCGATATGATCTGAATGCTTCTTAGATTCAAATTTTGTAAGAAATAGAGGAATTCTTACCAGTAAAATTATGATCATCCATATATGCCTGTTTCTTAAAACTTGAAATATGATGTAAAACTTCTTCAAATAGATTTTTCTACAAGACATTTTGAAATAAATTCATTTATAGAACTGAGAAAGATGAAACTGGGTTGAAGTATCTTCCTAGGCACAATATCAACCGATACATCAAGAAAGATATTAAAGTGAATTCATGTGCTAATCTAATAGAGACACACATTCTAAAAAAGGAAAAATTCATATACACATGGACAACAAATTAACAACAGGTACTCCTCTTTCCTATCTTATAGCTTGTCTTTGGTCTTTTGTCAAAGACTTTTTCGAATTGTTAGTAGCTATTACAAATGGGTCAACTGGAATAATTAGGATTAAAAAAACGTCATATTTAAGTTCATGCATTCATATGTCTATCAAAATAATAATCTTGACCAGCATTTATTCTATGTTAACAAGCAATGGCGTCATTGAGGTGAAACAAAGATCCAATGCTTTCAACATTTTTCAACTGAAAAGGAGTGTAGTATACATGTACCTGAGTTTGATTATCAGATGTATTACGTGCTATTTGTAAACAGGAAAAACAAACCATCAATATACAAGTCTTCTGTCTGTTTATTTTATTGATTTCATTACCACATAAAGATAATAACTAAAATAATTGCAATAGAAAATAGACTGTATTATGTATTCAAGAAGGATGCATCAATCAAATTTATTTAATAATTAGAGAGATGATGAAAAATGTAAAGGCAGCTAGACCGATTTAGAGGGAAAATCAGAAGCAATATTGAAATATTGTGGTCTTAATATATTAAGTATATACTCAGAGTTGTGTCCCTTAGGAGAGTTGTTGTGGAAGCCTAAGGAAAAAAGATTGAAATCTAAATTGTGTTATCACTTAAACTACATTCTTCATCTCTTCACATGAACAAATGGATTTGTGACAACTATCAAACAAATGCGTTCTGGATATGTGACATAGTTTTAGAACTATGAACTGCGTACTATTCTTATATGCTAGAAATTACCTGATAACATAGAGTGAAAAAGTCTTTTGTTTTCTCTGCATTGTCTTTGCATTTCAGTCCAAGATTCCAAGCTAAAATATAATCAAATACAAAACTTCGGCGAAAAAATGATAAAAAAAATTCTGAATGATCACAAGAAGCACAAATTGTTAAATTATAGGTGTTGAAAATATGACATTAATTGATGGTATTGGAATGGAAAAGAAAATGAATTATTACCTATTTTCATAAACCATAAAGATTCATCTTGTACCACAACTCTTATATCTTCATCACATTTATTTTGTATAACTAGTAATTTATTATAACCTGAAAACCAATTTATTAGAATTATTTTGTATAACTAATATTTTCTTATAAGCTGAAAACATATTTATTACATTTATTTAACTAATAATTCATTATAAGCTGAAAACCAATTTATTACATTTATTTTGTATAACTAGTAATATGTTATAAACTGAAAACCAATTTATTACATTTATTTTGTATAACTAGTAATGTGTTAGAAACTGAAAACCAATTTATTACATTTATTTTGTATAACTAGTAATGTGTTAGAAACTGAAAACCAATTTATTACATTTATTTTGTATAACTAATAATTCAATATAAGCTGAAAACCAATTTATTACATTTATTTTGTATAACTAGTAATTTGTTATAAACTGAAAACCAATTTATTACATTTATTTTGTATAACTAGTAATGTGTTATAGTAACTTTATTACATTTACTTCATTTAACTATCTACATTCATTTTTTTAACTTTTATAACCATTATAATACAAAGCACAATACAAGCAGAATTATAAATTCTATAAAAAAAAAAAGAAATAAAATCATACACACCTAATAATATCATTTCATACATTTTATCATATATTTTCCTGAAAAAAAAGTAAGATAAAAGTTTACTTGTAAATATTTATCATTAGTTTTTAATGATAACTTTCAAGTCTGGTGTATCATTAGTTTCTGTCAATGATAACTTACCAACTTGCTATGAATCATTTGTTTCTTTCAATAACATCTTACCAGTCTGACGTGTCATTAGTTTCAGTCAATGATAACTTACCAGTCTGTTATGTCATTAGTTTCTGTTAATGATAACTTGCCATTCTGCCTATCAGTATGATATCTTATCACTCTGGTGTGTCATTAGTTTCTGTCAATGATATCTTATCAGTCTGATGTATCATTAGTTTTTGTTAATATTTTACCAGTCTGGTGTATCATTAGTTTTTATTAATGATATCTTACCAGTCTGGTGTATCATTAGTTTTTATTAATGATATCTTACCAGCTGGAGCATCATTAGTTTCTATTAATGATAACTTACAAGTCTGATGTAACATTAGTTTCTGTTAATGATAATTGACCTGTCTGGTATATCATTAGATTCTGTCAATGATAACTTACCAACTTGCTATGCATCTTTCAATAACATCTTACCAGTATGACGTGTTTGTTTCAGTCAATGATATCTTGCCATTCTGACTATCAGTATGATATCTTATCACTCTGGTGTGTCATTAGTTTCTGTCAATGATATCTTATCAGTCTGGTGTATCATTAGTTTTTGTTAATATCTTACCAGTCTGTTGTATAATTAGTTTTAGTTAATGATATCTTACCAGTCTGGTGTATCATTAGTTTTTGTTAATGATATCTTACCAGTCTGGTGTATCATTAGTTTTTATTAATGATATCTTACCAGTCTGGTGTATCATTAGTTTTTGTTAATATCTTACCAGCCTGGTGTATAATTAGTTTTTGTTAATGATATCTTACCAGTCTGGTGTATCATTAGTTTTTGTTAATGATATCTTATCAGTCTGGTTTATCTTTAGTTTGAGTAAATGATAACTTACTACTCTGCTGTATCATTAGTTTTTGTTAATGATATCTTACCAGTCAGGTGTATCATTAGTTTCTGTTAATGATAACTGTAAGCGTAACAGACATCTAATAGCTATCAATATTTGGCCATCATCTGTACCATTATTAATAAAATATTCTATAGCTAAACTACCAACTACATGACTATTTAACTGAAAATGAATAATACAAATTTAATATACCTGGTAATAAAGAAGGCGAGAAGGATTAAGTAAATTCCCTGTATCAGAAATAAATTTGGAGATCACATTTTTTTTTTATGCATTAGCCTTAGTGGTCTTGATAGCTCTTATGGAGTTAAAACTGGAGATCAAGAGTGCTACAATTATGTTTGTTGAAGATCTATGGACAATTGAAAATAATGAACAATTAAGAAAAATTGTAATCTCTTACTTTTAATGCCAACTGAGCTGCCAAACATATTAAACTGAGATCAGGTGATTCACTATTGATGTCTTCAGTCTTTATACAGTCTACCATCTTCTGTAAACTTGATATAGCTGAAAACAGTATTCATACAGAGTGGGTAGATATAAATACAAAGTTAGTGTTGGAATTGGGGAAGTTTTGATCCTGGTTTGGTGCTTCGAAATTTTTTTTTTCTGTATTATGTTTCCAAAATGGTTTGTTTACCAACCAAGTGGACATATCCATTCAGTAAGCAGTTAGCATTCTAATTTAGTCTGATTTGGCACCTTCAAATTGTCTGAAATTCATGACCTCTTTGAGAGCTATATAAATAGCAGCTGTAATCAAACAAACCTCTCTCTTGTTTATCTTGTGATAAAGATAATTTATATATCAAGTAATAAGTTGCAGCTGCAGATTTATCACATCTTTCAGCTTCATTTAATATTTCTTCTGCCTGTTATATACAATGTATTGAGAAATTGAAGACAGAAACTGGTTTTAAGGAACAAATTTACAGACTCAAGAGAAAACTTTAAGCAGAATAACTGAAACACCTCAATTTGACACAAGCTCTTGCCAAGAAAAATACACTTACTTAATAACATTTATTCAGTATATCAAGGGCTGTAATTCAGAAAGTATTTATAGAATAGTACCCAAATTTAACTTGTCCATGGTGTTGTGAAGATAAATCTACATACAAAATTTGACCAAATCTGCATTCACAAACCAATTATAAATGGACTGACAGACAAACAGGGGTGAAATTAATGTGTGCATAGGGTTAGTTATATGTAATTGCACTTTGAAATATCAAACTCAAAATTGATCCTGCCAACTCTACAGATAGCAATTCCAAAATAGCAAAAATATGACCTACCTGTGAAAATTGGTTTAAACTGATTAAACAAGAAGCTCTATTCCTCTGTAATTTAGACATGTTACTATCACATCTTTCTGATGGTGAAAAGAGACTGTAGGAATAATTGTACCATTGTAAGGCTTCACCAAATCTTTCTGCCTGAAATGGATAAAGAATGGCCAATGTCATTTTAGATACTGATCTGATATTAGATGACTTCATAACACTGTGTAAAAAAATAAATGAAATTATTACATGTAAAATGGATCTTATTTATCTACTTCCCAAAGAAAGAAGGAAACCACAATTTTTCATGAGGATAACGAATTAGGTTCATGGAGATCCTTTCTACTTGCTGGTCCTTGGCCAAACCTTTTGACATTGATCTTACCCACAACCTACATGTTGACCAAGATAAGAACCCACATCGACCATTTGCTTGCATGTAACCATGCCAATGCTCTAATCAACACATCATCTTCTGTGGAGAATCATAATTTTATTTTGATCTTATAAATACAAAATTTCTAGTTTGAAGTTGGATACTATTTTTTTTGATTACCTCAAAATCTGTAGCAGCTTGTTCCCAAAATATATGATGAAACTGTTTCTTTATGTTAGGCTCCAAAACTCTTCCTGTATTATGACCTGTAAAAAAATTAAATATGGGGTCCAAATGGAATCAAAACAAAAGCCTGTATATTACTTCTAGTTAAATATAACATAAATGTTGACAATTTAACTGTTACTATTACTGAGAATCTTTTTGGTCAAGTAATGTTTTCAGATGAACTGTAAACACATGACATTGTGGATTGTTTGGCTTGACAAAGATGTTTACAATATAATAATGTAATTAGATAATCTGTAAACGCATACTGTATATATATATTCTCTGAGAATTGTTCAGCTTTAGATAGATGTTTACAATATAATATCATTTCAAGATAAACTGTAAACACTTCCCTGTTACAATATAATAATGTTTCTAGATGAACTGTAAACACCTACCTGTTATTATATCCCCTGAGAATTGTTTAGCTTGAGATAGATGTTTACAATATAATAATGTTTTTTAGATGAACTGTAAACACTTACCTGTTATTATATCTTCAGAGAAATGTTTAGCCTGAGATAGATGTTTACAATATAATAATGTTTGTAGATCAGCTGTAAACATTTACCAGTTATTATATCTTCTGGGAATTGTTTAGCTTGAGATAGATGTTTATAATAGCATAATGTTTTAAGATGAACTGTAAACATTCACCTGTTATAATATCCCCTGAGAACTGTTTTGAGATAGATGTTTACTGTAATGTTTACCTGTTATTATATCTTCTGAGAATTGTTTAGCTTGAGATAGATGTTTACAATATAATAATGTTTCTAGATGAACTGAGGCTATTTTACTGAAGTTTGGTGTATTATCATACTTCTCCAATAACTTCACTGGATAATCAAACTCATACCTGTGGAAAATATTAACAATGTTACACATAAAATTATCAGACAATATCAGACAAGTTGACATTTAAGGAGAATTGTCACATATACATTAGTGTATACAGGCTTTCCTTTTTGTGGTTAGGATTGTTAGTACTTTTTGGTTCTATCTAACAATATCATTAAATATCAGATCAAGATTTCCTTTTTTTATTTGGGCTTACTAGATGAATAGAAAGCCTGCATTTTCATCAGATTGATTTTCTTAAATAAATACTTCAATTGATAAGATACATCATGTATTCATGACTATCACATCTCCATCCATAGATCTAAAAATTTAAAATCTTTTTTCCATAATACTTGTAATTACTGATATATTATTCTTATAATTCTGACTCTTTTCGTTTTATAAATTTAATTCAAAATAGTAAATCAAAAGTAATATGAAAATCAAAAACGATCTTTACCTATTGTGTTTTCTTAAAAGATTTATGATATTAATATCTAGATCTACAGTTGTATCAGGATGTTTATAGATTTCATTTAATACTGAAATAAACATTTAATGTGAATATATATGCACAGTTGTATCATGATGTTTATAGATTTCATTTAATACTGAAATAAATTAATAATAATAATATCATGATTGACAGTAGTATCAGGATGTTATAGATTTCATTTAATACTGAAATAAACATTTAATGTCAATATAGATGCACTGTTGTATCATGATGTTTATAGATTTCATTTAAGACTGAAATAAATTAATAAAAGTAATATCTAAATTTACAATAGTATCAGGGTGTTTATAGATTTCATTTAATACTAAAATAAATTAATAATAGTAATTCTAGATCTACAGTAGTATCAGAATGTTTATAGATTTCATTTAAGACTGAAATAAATTAATAAAAGTAATATCTAAATTTACAATAGTATCAGGGTGTTTATAGATTTCATTTAATACTAAAATAAATTAATAATAGTAATTCTAGATCTACAGTAGTATCAGAATGTTTATAGATTTCATTTAATACTGACATAAATTAATGATATTACTATCAAGATTTACATTAGTATCATGATGTTTATAGATTTCATTTAATGCTGAAATAAATTAATATTAATAATATCTACAGTTGTATCAAGATGTTTGTAGATTGAACGAATAATTATACATGTCTTTGACATTGATCAAGTGTTATATATCAGATATATTAAAGAATATCTTTATAATGACTAAATAACTCTTTCTGAGTTTAAAAATTGAAGGGATATGAGGTTAACATACCTGAAGTTATGGCAGAAGAAGATTCCTTGGTAATCAGTAATATTCTAAGTTTGAGATATAAACCAGCAGCGTGTAGGTACTCCTGGAATTCAGAATAATAAAAACAAATGAATATCCATTCATTCAAAGAGAATAGGTTTTCCTAAAATTAAATAATGGTTTGAGCCCTTATGGTGACCACTAAAGCAAGTCAGAGCATGCTGACCTTTCCCGATCACAGTAGTCCACTCCATTTGGGTTTGTCAACTCTGCATTCCTTTGAAGAGTCCATAAAATCTGCAGTATTGTCAGTAAAATGGAACCAACTCTTTATCTAAATAATAAATACACAACTTACTGTATTGGCTAGAGTTACAGCATTCATTGCCTTATCACAATATATTTTACTATCCCATTCTAAATAGGCATTAGCTAGTAATCTTAATGTTCTAGCCTGAAACACATGGAGGTTAAAATCGTAATATCAGTTACTGTTATTTTACGACTAATATTTATAGAATTCAGCTACTGAGTTGTGAGACATATAATGTTGTTTTGCAAAAAAAACTGAGTTGAAAATTTTTCCTTTATCCCATTGAACACAAATCTATATGTTTTTTTCACACATGAAATTTTGAAAGTTTTCCCATTGACAGCAGTAGCAGAAGAATACTTATTTGTAGAATGTTACCCAACTAAAATTCAAATTGAAATAATAGACACTAATAACATATTTTACCTGATTTTTGGGATCAATTCCAAGTCTGCCTTTTCCTAATTCATAACTTTCTTTTAACCATGTAACACTTTCTTCAAACTGTTCATTTTGATAAGTTTCTACTCCAAAATTATAGCACAACATACATAGGTATGAATTCTGCAATAATAAAAATCAATCTGTGTATTTCACAAGTATCATTTCAGAACAGGAAACTAAAATCAGTATTCATCCGATGAAATTCATTTTGGATCAAGATCGACTAAGTGAAGTGGTCTTACAGACAAAGCTGATAAGCCAATAAAAGGTTTGGGAGTGTTTGTGGTGTTCACAGCGACATTAAACTCTTCTAGTCTGATTTCGATTGATCAAGACATGCACAGACTGATCTCTATTTATTGTCCTATCCGAAATACATCTCCTATGACCTCACAAGGGAAACTGGGTTGAAATATCTGATGCTACTATTCAAAATACGCTAGGATCAACATTCAAAGCTCAAAAGGTGTTTGAAAGCTTTATCATAGTATTATGCTAAATTCTTATCTAACTTAAAAAAAAGCAACCACCCATTATATGGTCAATTAAATAATCTACCAGCATATACTGACCTCTTTAGGAAACTTTGCCAACATTTCTTTAGCAGTTAACACTAAGTTCAGGGCGGCTTCATTCTTTTTCTGAGCTGAGGCCTATAAAAATATATAACTGAGTCTGTCCTGGTACAGCCCAAGTGCAAAACTGAAAATGTGATTCTATTCATTAAGTGATTGTTTGTTTAAGTATTTGATCTACCAACCAGTATGAAAGCACAATTTCAGCTATCTAGAGCTGTAGATTTGATATTGGGCAACTCAACAAAAGTTTAGATTTTTGTCACTGACAGGGCTATGTCAACTTTCTTAAAAGCTGTCATGAGAGATGACGTCATGGCATTAATAATATATTCTAAGCTCACCCTTTAATGACACCTGATGCCACTCTGGTCTGTGTCAGGTTTCCCTATCACTTTAGGACATGCTCAACCTTTCAAAAAACCTGATGCCATTCTGAGACTGAGATTGTCATATCAACATCTGTATGAGTTATCATACCTAATATTGTTTCTATGGTATATTTATTAAAGTTATTAATCCACATTTATCAAAGCAAATCAAAAGGATAATATATGAAATAAAAATTTACCACTTCAGCTTTATAAGTTAATATCTTAAAAATATCTTTATCTATATCTAGTCTTTGTTTCTCCATTATATTATTATGATGTTCATCATTACTGGTATTATTATATTTCTCTATAATACTAGATAATAGCTTCTCACAACACTGAAATATACAGATAGCTTCTCACAACACTGAAATATACAGATAGCTTCTCACAACACTGAAATATACAGATAGCTTCTCATAACACTGCCATATACAGATAGCTTCTCACAACACTGAAATATACAGATAGCTTATCATAACACTGAAATATACAGATAGCTCTCACAACACTGAAATATACAGATAGCTTATCACAACACTGAAATATACAGATAGCTTCTCACAACACTGCCATATACAGATAGCTTCTCACAACACTGAAATATACAGATAGCTTCTCACAACACTGAAATAAACAGATAGCTTCTCACAACACTGAAATATACAGATAGCTTCTCACAAAACTGAAATGTACAGATAGCAATTGATTGCAATGTTGGTGTATAAAAGTCGATGTCTATCAAGGGTTCTTGGAGTACCTGTCCTGATGAGGATTTTGTATCCAAAGCATGTGTTGGCAGTATGATATGACACATTTCCTAGAAAGAAATTTGTGAATTGATAATATAATGTAATATGTATATACCTGATGTGAAATATTCAGAACAGTTTCTGCTGATTCCAGTTCATTACATTCTACAAACACAAAACAAACCAGTATGAGAATGGGTAACTATTGACTTAATGAGAATTCTTTACAGGGCTTTTTTCTGGCTGGACATTTTCTTTTGTCTGTCGAAAATGTCAACATTTCATAGCAAAATAATAAAACAAAACGTAAGACAGGTTTTGTAGCTGAAAAAAACCTCAATGGAATTGGATTCTCAACAAAAAAACCGCCTTTCATAAGAATGGGTAGCAAAAATTTACAAATAACATAATGTAATCAAATTATTGGTTCAAGTAATCTGAAATTTTCTTAAGCTTACCTATCCATGCTCTTGCTGTTTTTATCCCCATCTAAAATTTTAAAATATTTTTAGTATAGATTATTTTATAATAGGGAAACTGCCAATGCTTGGGATCCAAAGAAATTAGAGCATTACAACTTTCAGTTTTTAGCAATTTCAGGTAAATTGAGCACAAGCTTTAAATTCTGGCTAATGATACCTACTGTATAGCAGATAGTGAGCTCTATTTGCTGGTAAAACTCACCTTAAGATATTTTCCACAAGGTGCTTTCAATTCAGAAATATATACATGTAATATTGATACATACTATTATTTGTCTTTTCACCATAGAATCTGTAGAACTATAAACACCAGTATTCAACTCATTTAATATCATAAAACAAATATTTCTCACTAAAATGAAAGTATATCAAATAAAATCACTTAGGATAGTCAAACTAACTTAGGCTTATCCATTTGAATTTGGGGTTTTTTAGCATTTCCAAATTTGAATCAATAAATTTGTATGCATTGTTATTTTAAACAAACTTATATGACCACAGGCTAAAGTAGGTTAGTTGTCTGAAGATCACAAAGTGTGAAAATCTGTGTAACAGCATGTGTTAAGTTCTGTTTTAATAAATCTATATTGCTCTACATTTGATGTATTCAGCACTATTATAACAGTGAAAATGATTTGTTATTATCACGTTTTATTAAAGTTAATCTTTCCTAAGCCGAAATATATTGCATGTAGTGGAGTTACATCAAGCAAAGTAGGTATTTTAATATTCTATTTCCAAATTTTCGAAAAAGAATTGAATTTACTTACATTTAGCATTTGATGTATTAGATATTGAGCCTTGGATTTTCAGAGGAACTACATGATTCCATAATTTTACTGCTGAATCTTCCAACTGAAAAAGTAGGAAATAAAAATAAATATAAAAATAAAAAAAACAAATAAAAATTGCTGCACAGTCCCAAGTCCAAATCCAAGCAGAAAGTAATAATTAGTTATGAAAGGCCCATGTTTTATAACATTATAACTTACAGTTTTTGTTGTTTCTGAGTCTTCGTGATCTCTGATAGATGTTTTAAATTTTCCAACTATTTCCGTTGTTTTCTCAATCAAATCAAACCAACAATCAGATAAACAGTCTTTTACTGAACATAACTTCTGAACATAGTCTGAAATAAAAAAAATTCAGATCAATTAGATCTACCTAGCTTATATCATATTTTGTTTTCATTGAACATAACTTCTAAACATTGTCTGAAATTAGCAAAATTCAGACCATTTATTAGCTTATTTCAAATTTTGTTTTTACTGAACATAACTTCTCCCCTCCCCCAATATATGATGCAAAAAGTATTCTATTTTCACTTATAAAATTGCATTAGATGTGTTTTCTGGCTTCCCACATTTGCAAATTTTCAATGCAGAGCCCAACATTGGAACCTTTGCCCTTTAGTATGTTAAGGGTTTAGCTTAGGATCTCTACTTGTGCTGCAGTAATCACCATTATCATTCATCACTTAATTCAGACGATCAGTCACTAAATAATGTTTAGCTAGTAAGCTTACACCTACCATACAGACTGCTAACTAAATTGTCTCTCTTTTCTGGAATAAACTCCATCCTTTTTTAAACAAATGATTCTGGAAAGTTCTAGTTGAAGAATTAATGTCAGCCTTGTCTATAGTACTAACAAGAGTTGTGCCCCTTGTGGCTTGAATCACTTTTTCTTGTAGTTAGTCGGTGATCGTTGTTTTAGATTAATTTCAAACTGTGCCTTTAATTTTCGTTCCAACTGCGACGGAGCTGACTTGACCTACCTAATCCAACGTAACTTAATATCATAAAAGAAACAATAGAAAAAAGTCATTTTTAATCAATTTGTATTTTGCGTTTGAAACTTCACTTGATTTGTTTACTCTTCGGGTCAAGGTCGCTATATAGTCTCGACTGCCATGACCATCATACTTCCATTTATTAAACATACGTCTGGTAATTCTAATCTACACTGACACCTGTTGCGTCTGCGCACTTAAAACTTCTGATGTAAGTATAAAACGGCGCGAAAATTGATTTCCCGATTTGCAGATTGCAGAAGACTCGAAGTTTGTCAACACACAGACGTTTTCAACTATCATTGGTAACTAAAATCACTTTTGTACGGTACGTCTAATGAATAAGATAAGTTTCTTCTGCCTTTGAAATAGACAATGCCTATGGCCTATGGTTATGTTCAAACGTGTATTCAAAATATTTTCATCACTGGCCTCGGTCACTAAGCGTAGGACTAGGCCTACTGCTACTCTCTAGACTAGACCCTACTAGATTTGTGGAACTACTCTGACTGGTTGGCCTACCTATCAGAGGCGTATATTAGATACCAGTTAGACCTAAATGCCATGCTGATGAGATCTATCCTGAAAAAAACGTTACGTTATAGTAACAGTACCAGCCCCGAAGCTTTTGCTAAGTTAGTTAAAAAGAAAGGTATTGGCCGCCCCAAACTAGGCCTACGTTCTAGGCCTAATACATTGCAGAACTCTTGTAGTTCTATGGCCTAACTAAGTAAAAAATATTTTTTTAGATGATGAATAGCACCATAACAACTATCATTTGATTTGGAAAGAAGTCTGAATATTTTCACTTTAAAGCCTACTTTCACAAATTCGAAGCATGCCTGTAGACAACTTTTTAAATATGAATTTGAGGTAAGTTTTCTTTGTTATTATTATGATGATGGGGAACAAATTCGCTGAGATTAGGCTACAGGAAAACGTTGAGCCCTCTGTATTGGCCGTAGCTCAAGAGGGCCTGCGTCGATGATCATTTTGTAACGATGAATATGTCTAAATAAATTTCAGTGCTGGTGAAAAGGCATCCGAGGGCAATGTCCTTTGCATGGAGCCAAGGCTTCCAGAAAACTCTGCCAAGCAGGCTAAGGTAGGTTTCGACATTTAGACTGGAATAATGGTATTCTTTGTACATCAGACTTTCTTCACAAACACTTAGAAAACGTTGCGTTGCGGTACTCAAATTCTACACAAACCCTCAACCAGACGGACAACAAACACAGTTTTGGTCGTTGAATTTAGGTTTGCCGTATGGATATTTGTTCTTCTGGGTTTTGACCGTTGGGTGCGCTTATAGTTTGCTCCTGCCTATTCTAGACTATCTGGTTATGAGGAAAGTTCTTTTTTAACTTTAAATTTAAAAAAATAAATGTGTTTTAATGTTCCCTTTACTCTTTTTCTAAGAAACCACGAATTAACAACGAATCGAAGATACTTGACGTCGTCACTCCAGAAAATCGTTCCTCGGCAGTGCCGAAAGACTGTGAGATAGATGGAGATATCGGATATTCAAGCCATGGTACTCAAGAAGATTCACAGAAGAGTAATCTATCTTTGAAGATAACAGAGTGGCAGGGCCGAGAGCACGATGAACAGGACGACTTCATGCATCCGGATAACGATCTTGATGACCTCCTCTACCATTTCAGTATGTGTTTGACGAACTGGCCTGGAAAATTAAGCTTGCCGTATATCAGGCTATATTGTATGACCATACAAGAGCCTAATACACGGCAGTTGTATTTGGATCAGGGACACTTATAGCTTCTATAACAATTATGTAGTTTCTGCTTATCTTGAACTAGAAGAACCCCTTGACCAGATTAGGAATTATACCCTGAATGACATTTTGTACGTTTCAGATAATTTCTTCCAAGAAAAGTTAGAAAATGAGTTGACAACTTTTCAAGAATCGATGAGAAATATGTTGACTGAACAACAGATTCACGTTCGACAGATCGTTCATAATTCATCAGTTCCTCAAAACGTAAGACTTTTATTATGGGCGGCGTATAGTCTCGTCAACATCCTGTTCTTCCGTCCAAATACTGTCGATATTGCTTGCGTGAAAGAGAGTAGAGTGTTGTATCCCTTGTATTGGAGTGATATATAATATGACGGGAAATGTTAAAAAGCGTTTTTAATTCATTACGCTAATGGTTTACCTTAGTTGATAATTTTCGTTGTATTTTGTAGTTATTAGATTCACCACTAACCAATATGGATACAAGTGAATTAGATCATTGTAACAGCAGTAAGTATATTCTTTATGTTTTTAAATTTTATACCTTTGATGCCGTTTTCTTTTGTTATTTGAGTTGGGTTTTAGAAAAAAAAATATTCTATTCCTTGTTTAACGTTCTCGACCCTCGACTAATTCGTTGACCGTATTGCAAGCACCTCTTGATACAAGGAATTATGTGGTGTATTTACACTGCACCATTCACTCTATTCATTCTTTTTCAGATCATTCAAGTCCAAACGAACATGAGGCCGTGCACGCGAGGTATTGTGCGTTAATTATTTTCATACATATACCCCATTTCTATATCGGTTAGACATATTGGGATATTTTTCCAGTTTACGGTGGTGGTTTGACATTCCCCGGGTGTTTAAAGGAAATTAAGCTCAGCAAAACATAAGTAGGCCATGAGTTCAGACGTTTTAACGCATTTGAATAGTCAAAAGATTCATTCTGAATATTGAAATTTACATATACTTTGTACTTTGTTTCCCACGATAAACCCAAACACTGGGGTCAAACTTTCACTTCGATCCCCAACAATAGCTTTAAAAATTTTCCGAAATAATAATTTTGAATTTTTTTTCAGTAGTCAAGTGCAAGAGGCAAGTGGAACCAATGAATTATTGACTGAATTATTATCATTATCGTGTGCTGTTACAACTTTATTACATCAGCCAAAATATCGTATTTGAGAATGTTTTTGAACTTTGCACGTACGTGTAAAAGGCAATGAATCCTGTGCGAAAAGCTAGCTAAATGTGGATTTGGGTCAGCGAGAGGACTCAAATTAATTAGTTGTAGTCTGAAGTAAAGGGAATGTATTTCAATTTAAGAGTTGCGTCCCTTCTCATATGCGTGCAGTTTTCTCCCGAAAGCTAAATTGATAACTGTAATATGATTGACTTAGCAAGTGTAAAACGTAATGCTGTAATTGATTATCGGGCAATTGACATATACAGAATATGAGATTCTTCCTTCATAGCATTGCCTCTGGTCTGGTTTTGGGTTCATAGTAATGCGAAAATTGAATTAGTGTGAATAGTATGAGTATGATAAAAAATTAACTGGAAAATGTAATGTATCGCTTAACAATAGATTAGCCACCACCTAAATATGTACATGTACAATGTGCCAACAATTGTCAGGAAACGTGAAATTTATACAGCATGTGTACAAGGTATCGTGGCAGGGGAAAATAAATCGTGTACAAAGAATCGTGATACTAAGCATAATATAGCCAAGTGAAAGGACAATCGTGATATGTATTATATACTCCTGTCAGGTAAACAGAGTATCGTGACCAGTGAAGGGAAAATCGATTGTCGATTAGTATTGTCAGGTGTACAAAGAATTGTGACAAGTGTACAAGGAATCGTGATAAGTATCGTATAGTATTGACATGTGTACAAAGTATCGTGCCAAGTGAACAGGGAATCGTGATGTTTATTGCATAGTTTTAATACGTATCCTTCCAAGCTGTGAACATACTTATCGTATAATACTGTCATGTGTTCAGCGTATTGTGTTTAACAAATGCACCATGGGTACAATATTGCGAACTGAGTCGTCTGTACATGTGATTAAAATGCGTAAAGTGTACGTTTAACATTTAGTCAACAGGTCGATGACGGCTTACGCAGAAGACTATGATACTTATCTTTTTGTATCTTTCGGCTCATACGTCATGCTCGAGTCATAAATCACGGGGCCATCCCCTTGAATGTTGACAATATGATTAGATTGTTATTTTGTTATGCATTTTATGAATTATGTTATCAGTGCCCAATAGTGTAAACATGTTTTGCTGAATAGCAAAATTATTTTTTGAACCGTTGTAATAAAGTCCATTTTTTTACTTATATTTAAATTTGCGATTATTGCGTGTAGATTTGGTCATAGCGTTACAGGAATAGAAGTGTTATGGAACCACATTGGAAACTGAAGGATTTAATATAAACGTCGCTGTGGAAAGTTGAATAATTATCTTATTAATCGGAAATGAAGGCACCAAAATGATGTAGCCGAAGCAAATGGATTTGAAATTTTTGAAAGACACTGATAACGTTCATTTGATTGAAAATAGAAGCTGTAAATGACTCTGGTATGAATTTAAAAAAAAAAACAAGAAAACCCATCTACGACCATGTGATGTTAAGATTACCACTTGAAAGAGTGTTTTTAGTTAGCCCTATCATTCATGTATGTAGCCTTTATATTTAGACAGACTTTGTTCCGTTCATTTATGCGGTATAAGTATGACTAATTGAATAAATTATACATGTGCCAAAATCAAGTGAAAGCTGTAATTCGAGATGTCTCTTGAAAAAATTCCAAATCAGTATATTGAACTGACACGCCAAGTAAAGCTGTGTAAAGCTTAAGGCAGGGTACAATACAATAGTTACAGAAAATGTTATGGTATTTCGATTTTACTTCAATCAAGAAAATATCTTCTGTCTGAAGGTCGTGAGTTTAAGTTAGTGTAAGAAAGATTTAACTCTATGAGAACTAGCACAAGTTAACAACCAAACTATTCTTATTGACCTTGAAGAAATTTGTTCGTCTGCTAGAGCCCTGTAACGGGGAAGTTATATGTGGTCTGGAGTTACCAGTAAACCGAATGATGGAAAAGTATGTCAAACATCATCACGTGGCTTTGTTATTACGGAAGTTGATGAAACGTTGCGCACTGGTATTCCGCGCATTTGCGCACGGTAATATACTGGCTGTATAGAGCTGTATATATGCAAATCACCCGTGACAACAAATACGTCATCAGGTACTCCCCATAATCTTACAGCAATTCATATACTCTACTCTACACTAGCATGTAATGGACGTATGGGTTAAACTATACTTTTACTCTACCGCGGAGCATTTAGTATATTATCCACATGGATTGTCGGACATACTTGACAGTTCCTAAAATGATTCAATCGGATTATATTCTGTTGATTGTGATATAATTAACTGGATTACGTTGATTTATAGCTTGACAAATTGTGATTTAATTTTATATGTTTGAGTCTCTGCAACTGTTAAAAATGGACGTATTGGGTGATATGAGCGATAACATAGATCCGAATTTTGAGCCTCAAATTAGGGCCAGATCTAATACATGGCCTTTGAGGCCTAACAGGGAGTTGTTGGAAGGACAGGGTAGTCCAGGTGCTGAGGATTCCACTGATTTACAATCCAAAGAACCTCGTGATCCGCTAGGATTAAATACTAAGAAAAGTGGGTCGAGAAGAAATGCTTGGGGAAATTTATCTTATGCAGATCTTATCACGAAAGCAATCCAAAGTACACCCGAAAAACGTTTGACATTGTCCCAAGTGTATGACTGGATGGTCCAAAATGTGCCATATTTTAAGGATAAGGGAGATAGTACCAGTTCAGCTGGATGGAAGGTATGTATTTGGATAACTATTTATTTTGTCACTGTGCCGAGATGTGGTTGTAAGAAAAGTTAGGAGTGTGTGCTAACGGTAAAATAGGTTACTGAATGAGGTCAATCTCGTTTTTTTTTTCAGAAGTCATTTCAGGTCAAATGACATAATAATAGTTTGATTCCGGGAATGATTTATTCATCTTAATACGGGATATAATGTAGTTGAATTTTAATTAGTTGCCGAAAGCGATTCAATACTGTCGTCAATTTCACGCGTTCTTTGACACATTTGACCGATATTTTCTCTTTTCTAATATTGCAGACGGATAGAGATTGAAAATGGTGATAAAAAATGTGGGCTCCCATTGGTCAACTTCCCTCCTACGATCACTTCTATTATAAATAGTAATGGATTGGGGGTTAAAAAGATCAGAATTTAATTACGAAAGAAATTGGGGGGGTTAACGAGATTATTAAAGAACGACTCGTGCTGGAATAACGGCCAAAATAAAGGGTAGTAGATTTGTTTGTAAACATTATATCACGTGATGAAATTGGCCACACTAAGTTGTATAATGTGTCAGTATTGTATAACATTTTATAACATTGAATAACCTTATAACCCCTGACCATTATTATTAAATCATGACTCTACCTTGACTGGGCCACTTTAAGGACATGACCCTAAAATAAACCCCAGTGATTATAGTTGGCAGTCTTAATGAATTCAGGATTATTGTCTGATCAACTCATGAATAGGTCATGAATGAAATTAACTAGCTGCTAGATAATTGATTAAAAATGCACTCATCAACCTGTTGAGTATTGAACCATAGAGATTTCTAAATTTAAATTTTAACCTACTTCATTAATATTCAAAATGATTTTTTTTGATTTCATGCCATTTGCCTTTGTGCTTATGAAAACATATGGTCTAGTAATTTTTCATTTGAAATAAAAAAAAAAAATTATGATAATAACCTCTTCCTGAAAATGATTTGAAAAAAAATTGATACCCGGTAATAATTAACTATTCCAGAAATGAAATTCTATTTATTCGAACCGGCAAGTCCACAAAAAATAAGTGTTTGATGACAACATTAATCACATAAGGCCCTTTGCGATTATTGAAGTCATAAAACACTTAGTGGATTTACGAGAATTGCATATTGATGCTGTTAGTGTCACTAAGACCCACTCAAAATTAAGAAAACCTCTTTACAAACCCTTTGATTTCAGAAAAACAATAAACATGATGTTTGTTCTCTTCTTGTGACCATGGCCAGTACTTCTATAGGAGAGTAGCTTCTCTGACGCCCAAATATAGAGACAATATAACATATGTTAAATTTTGACTCTTAATGATTAAAAGAACATGCCAATATGCAAAAAAAATATGCCACAAATCAATTTTTTTCAAAAAATATTTTTGGGAGAACCCCTTCAGTCGCTCCAAGTGAGTCTTGCAACTAGACGCATCTATGGAGTTACAGCATTTGGAATTTAGCCTCGACAGTTTCCCCCATTAATTCTGTCTATTTGTACCTCCAGTTTCGGTGGGCTGGTGCCACCACTGCCAATATGCCACTTATATTATAGTGTAATCTGTGTTGAGTTGGGATAGAGATATTTGTAATAGAGACTAGAAGTATATCAGTATGTGAAGAGACCACTCAGGACTAGGTTAATTTGTTATTATGAGTTAATCAGCATGATTTCATTACCATAGCTAGTTATCATTAAAGGGATATATTCATCTGAGTATTCCATTTACCAGGAGTTATTGATGTTATCAGTAATAATTACAGCAATATCTTCACACCAAAGTATATTTTGATTTAATTGTAGAAAACCATAGGCCTATAACTGATTTCAGTTGTGAAAAGTGATACAAAATGCTGAAATTCAGCTCGATCCTTGCGATGCCTGTATTCCTGTAACAGTTAAAAAAATCTGCTTTTCTAAGCAAAAGATATCTAAAACATAATGGATTTGTTCTATATGCAAGATTTATCTAAAATGACTTCTTACTCAAAAGATGTCTAAAATATAAAAAGACTTTTTCATTGCAAAAGATGTCTAAAACATAACTGTCTTTTTCTATACAAAAGATGTCTAAAACATGTTTTTTACTACACAAAAGATGTCTAAAACAAAATGCACTTTCACTATACAAAAGATGTCTAAAACATTATGTTTTTTACTATACAAAAGATGTCTAAAACATAATGGTCTTTTGCTATACAAAAGATGTCTAAAACATAATGGTCTTTTCTATACAAAAGATGTCTAAAACATAATGGTCTTCTTCTATACAAAAGATGTCTAAAACATAATGATATACAAAAGATGTCTAAACGATAATGGTCTTTCACTATACAAAAGATGTCTAAAACATAATGGTCTTTTTCTATACAAATGATGTCTAAAACATGTTTTTTACTATACAAAAGATGTCTAAAACATAATGCACTTTCACTAAGCAAAAGATGTCTAAAACATTATGTTTTTTTTACTATATAAAGGATGTCTAAAACATAATGGTGGTCTTTTGCAATACAAAAGATGCCTAAAACATAATAGTCTTTTGCTATACAAAAGATGTCTAAAACATAATCGTCTTTTTCTATACAAAAGATGATTTTCTAAAACATAAAAGCTTAAAATGTAAGTCTTAAAGGCCAAACTATTCTTTATCAGTTCCAATATAAACACCAATTTGATCTCTATTTGATTCAACTTGATGGACGTCTGCATCTTGTCTAAATACAACACCAAATGGTTTCTGTCACAAGTTCTCAACATTTCAAGAAAATTCACCATTCAAAGATATAGTTACCTTCATTTAAAGAGGCAGTATATACAAATTTCATTATTAAAAACATAGTGAATTATACCTCAAATTTCATTTTAAATCTTATATTTACACATAAACTATAAGCTTATTAAGCTGAATTAGTTTTAAAAGGGGTTAATTAAAACAGAATGTACTAATTGTTAAGTTAAAAGCAGCTTTAACTTGTTTTGGTGTTTGGCCTCAAAAAGACTATAAATATTTTTAGATGACATATTTCTCTACAATTAGGTGTTTATTTTACTTAAATCCATGAAGTAGTTTTCTCACAATTCTCTTCATTTTACTTAAAACTTTTAAATAGTTTTGATGTTAAAAAAAGATTTTTTTAGTCCTAGATTTTGGTGTATACGAAATAACCGGAATGGCACTTTTTTTTCTCTGATATTTGGATACAAGCTCTGATACGGTACCAGTATTAATATTTTAAAATGCTCTAGCTCGGTCTAGAATGGCGAGGTTGTCTTTTCTCATTTCTTGGTGCATATTCTTAAAATATTTTCATATTTCATAAACAGTTCAGAATATTTATGTCAAGGCCAGAATTTGAACATTACCAACATCAGACCTAGTTCGGATGGCTTTGTCAGTCATCTAAATATTTATGTTAACTGCTGTTAGAGCTGAACTTCACTCATCCATATCACTTTACAGAATTCCAACTTCCAGTTCTCATACAATTCAACAAAAATCATACTGAATTGAGATCATCTTCATTTGCAGGACATTATTTACATTCTCCAGTTCAGTTGTAATGATATTTGCATTGGCAATGTCTGTATTGTGTGCGTAAGAATATTATGAAATGGAAGTGAAAACAGTCAAAACTTCCATAATGTGTAAATGATAATTGTAGGGAAATCAAAGAAAGGATTCAATTCTAAAAAGTGATACATATGGCTGAAATTAAGCTGTATCAGCTAGTAATGCAAATATTTACTCGCCTATAACGCCTTAATGTAAAAGGAAAAAACTTTAGGTGTAATTTTCATATTTCTAGCTTTAAATGGATATTTTTCTGGAATTTTTTTCGTTACGAGTTGATGGATGTTAATAAGCTACTCTTGTACCTGTATCACTTTTCAATTATCAAGTTGACGTAGTTACATGCTTGAAATTTGGGTCGTTGTGCTAAATATTTTATATAAGTATTTTATTTTGGTTTAGTGCAGTGAAATAACATAATGTGGACTCCTGTTGTTTTCATGTATGGCTACACTTATAAACTGCTGTCAGCATTTGCTCTACATTTTACCCCTATCTCCATAATGTCCAGCTATTACATACTTCATCTTATACCTTGACTACAATAGCCACCTTTTTTGTATCACAGAATGCAGCAGTTTGATTTGATTGTACGCCAGCCATCTGAACAATGAAGTCTGGCTACAGGCTTGCTTAACAGAAAGAGGATTTAAACCTATTGTGAAAGGTTGAATTAAATTCAGAATGAATAGAAAAAATGTGACATTTCCTGTTAACTTTCAATCAAAGAAAACACGCCATTTAACAAGTGTGAACAAAGACTAGTGTTTTGAATGTATTGTTAAATGGGTTGAGTTTATCAGGTTCATTATGATTAAACAAGTCAAACAGATTAATTTGGAGAAATCAAATCTTGAGGTGATCACTTGATTAAAAACGTGCTGACAAGCTCTATACACTTCCAGGAATTGTATTGCAGGAACATTTATAAGATTATTGAAATTTGATCCTTTTCATGACAAAGTTGTCTGTTTCAAGGTTAGATGTTGAAGAATTAAAGGGACAGGTGCTATTTTGGGGCGTTGGTTTGAGTCTTGAAAATATGTATTTACAGAAGTACTACTAGACATGTATGAAAATCACATAATTTCTTCAAAAATATCTCAAACTAGGAATTTTACTCACTATTTCTAAATATATATCTTTTCTATAGGTCATCATAAACATGCTTAATTTGGGACACACACGGATATGAGGCTCAAAATTTGATGGTGAGCTGTGAACACTATTACTGATCCCTTTAAGAGGGAGGGTCTTAAGAGGGTCAGCGGTAATGCAGATCACCTTACCAGACCAATCATAGTTGATGGAAACTTTCTGCTTATAGCAACAAATTAGATGCTTGATGACAAATCGAACTTCTGCTTACAATACTTGAGCAAGTAGCCAGATTTGGCATCTGCAGTTTTCCAGTTGTCTCTCTACTTAGGTCAACAACATTCAACAAATGATTAAGTCCTCCCTGATGATGTAAGCTACGAGCAGTCTTTGAAAATTAAATTTTTGTCCCAAAGTTGACTGAACCTCGAGACTCCTAAACATACTCACTATATGATGTAAGAGTTCAAGGTAGGCCTACAGTCCTGTCATTTAAAATGGCCGCCAAATATTAACATGCATTGACTTTGACATTTTATTGCCATTTGAGCTGTTTATGATATACATATAGTGTGATGCCCCATTTCTTTCTCTTTATAGGTGATATACCAGCTAAATATATTGTATTCTACCTATAACACTATTAACAGTCCATTAGAAACCAAGCACCATCCACATTTAATTATAAAAGTGTGAATAATTGGTCCTCTGATTTCAAATTGACATTTATTGCGCAGATCGTTTTCTCATTCCAATTGAAAAGAGTGCTGTATAGTGATTGACAGCAGGATTCCACTCGCTCTCAAAATGAAATTGACATTGTTTGGAAAAGATTTACATACATTTACACAATTCTGTAATTAAATTTCTCGTTGAGCTGGACTCTGGTTGCACAGATCTATAAAACAGGGCTTTATTACGACAGTGCCATAGAACAGCTTTTAGCTGGGATCTATAAAATAGGGGCTACATGTATGTACCCACAGCTATAGAAATTAAACTATATGAAATGCCAAGAGTTATATGTACACACAGCTATATTATGTGAGCTATATCTATGCATAGAATTCTAGAACATGAGCTATAGAGCTATATATGAGCTATATGCAGGCACAGAGCTATTTAGGAAGGAGCTATAGAACATGAACTATAATATATGAGAACATAAACCCCCTATATACCACATTGGCCTTCAGCCTCCAATTTATGTCCTTGATCTTTACCATCATGGCCTTGGCACATGACGCTATATTGATATTCTATATGTTCTACAAAAGTTATGTTTTTCACAAATAATATTTGACACAGGTTTCATTTCAATCATTTGTCCTCACAATAGAATGTTGGTGTTGTTACAGGCCATTGTTCTGGATCTGTAATATGTACGGTCGAAAATCCATAATTTACTTATAGAATATATATATATATATAAGTATACTAGAATAGACTTAAACTTGGCAGCTTTCCAATCCATAACTCCTACTTATTCTTTTCTTATTTGCCCTAAATTCTTTCACTGAGCCAACCACTCTTAAATAAATCATTATGACTAGGCTATTTGAAAGATTTTATGTGGTTTTTTTCTTAGTGAAATTGAATGCAAGTCTTAAAAAGATTTGAGGGCCCATTCACAGGTCTTTTATGAACGCTTATGCTAGGTTAACAATGAATAGGTATCTCAACACTATTTCTAAACGCTAATACACTATTGAGGTGATCGGAATTGAATTATAAAGTAAGATATATCACATAGCCTTGACCTTGTCATCTTAAATTTGACTTCTGCTCCATCAAATCACTCTATAATTGATTTAATGCGTGCATTGAATTTGAGTTAATATTCTCTCAGAAATAAAGAAGTGAAATTCATTTCTGTGTAACATATAATTTGAAGTAATCAAACGAATATCAATTTAAAAGGAGGTGATATTTGATATATTTGTCAGTGGTTATTGTGAATAGAGCACACTTAGAACTATTATAATTGAAGTCTGAGTGCATACGAACTACACTGCACAACTAGAATATTGAATTCTGTTGAAAGTGTATAGAAATATCTGATGCAGTTTGATTCCATTCGTTTCTGCGTGCTTCTGCACTGCAATCCTATCTGGATAACCGATTTCACACAGAAAAATGATCTGGATAACTTTTTATTTTAGTAACATACCATGTCACAGTGGACAGAATTGAACTACAATGTTCATCATTATAAAATATCAACATAATAACATTCAATATAATTTGCTTTTCCTCTTCCGATGCATATATGTGTACTTTATTAATTCCTTTCTGGGGATTTTCAAGTATTTCCATTATAATATCCCCACCAACAGGTTATGCAATTTTGAAGTATCAATTCACATGATATCCCACATGATATTCTTATCCGAATAACTTCTTATTTGGTTTCGCACTCTCACTTATCTGGATCGTATCGACGAAATCAACCTTCGGAAGCAGATTTTTCTATCTGGATAAAGGTTATAACTAAATAAGTTTACTTGCGAGTGCAAAGCAACCAGAGGTTATTCAAATAGAACTGGATAGAACCAATTCGGATAGAAGTGGATTGAACCAAATTACTTTTGCAGTTCGAAAGGAGTATCAGAGTAGCTTGTCTGCACAAGTTGACACAACAAGACACAGTAGCCTTAAGTACACCTTTATATTACATCCCCGTGCAAGCATAATAGCAAAGACTTCGCTCTAGTATGCAAGATGTTGCAACGTCAAAATATGTTCATTTTGAGTTATTGAAATAAGTCATTAATATGAAGTCTCAGTACACAGTGTCAATAACCTATGAAAAAATTGCAAACAATTTGACACTTTTAGGAGTTGATTTGGGTCTTTAAAATTATGTAAATAGTCTTAAGAAGTACTAGTTATGTTTAGAAATAGCATAATTCTTTCAAAAATGACATAAACACTGAATTTCTTTTCGCATTTCTATATTACGTCTTTTCTATATATATATGGCAGTCTCAAGAAAAGAAGAGCCGTCATTTTATCTTTCAAATGCAGATTAATACCATACACTACTAGTTTTTCATCCGTGCCGTTCTCAGGACACATAATTTTTATAATGGTCTTGAAATGACAAAAATATAAATTTATTCTAGAGATGACTCTTTCCCTTTAATATGAAATTTATTTCCTATATATCATGTTCATAATACAATAAAAAGATATATCATCCATAGCAGACAATTGAACTTGTAACCATATGCTACCTACATATGTTAATTGAATAAAACAATATCTACATTTTTATATAAAAGAATGGTCTGGCTAAATTTTTTATGCACATAAATAAAAAATGCGTTCTGTCACAGAATTTTGCATCTGCGGGACTTAATTCAAATAGATTGTACAGAGGTTTTTTATGTGTATCTGGGAGACTGATAGCATCAATCATGATCGTGAAGGGCCTTATGTGATGAAGCATATTTTGTGATTAGTGACATCATCAAACATTTAGTTAAAGTGGAATTGCAGGAACCACAGACGTCTGATTGAAAATTGGAATGGTTCAAATTTATGCTATCAGTGTTCCTGATACACATAAAAATTAAGAAAACCTCTTTATAATCCCTTTAAGTATAGTCCTTTGACTTGCAAGCCATTTTTATTGTGGTGTGTGTTCTATCAGAGAGTATATTTAAGGATATTTACGAGATGGATAATTAGAATAAAGGAGAGGAGAAAGTTGACTTTGTAACCTTTGAATGATAAGAGAAAGTCTCAGTAGTAATATCAAGTTCTAGTCATAATGATGCCAGTAATAGGGACCTATATAATGTATTGATTTTTCATCTCTTACATATCTCTGGTAGTTAGATATGATAACTAGTGTCTTCCTTTATACCACCAACTGGTAACATCCAAATTACTCGCTAATTATCTACCTCACATTTCTATTGGTTACGAGAGAGTTTTGTAACTGATAATTGGGCAATTTTTTTTTTGTAGAATTTGAGGAAAAGGTTGAAATAAAGTAAATACATCTTACACAATATTATGCAAAATATTACTTAAAAAGATGACTTAGATCAGAGTAGTCCTCAAAAAAATAGCAAAATGCTTGATTTGTATGTCTTTAAGTGAAAAATACATATTTTAAAGTATGCGGCAGTAAATCTTGTTGTCGGTAGTTAAAAGTCAAATTATTAGATTTTCATGAAAAAAGATTTGAGATACTGATTACTGATACTTGATTTTGCTTTTATTTAAATTAGTTTTTGTGATTATATGGCCCCAAATCTATTCACAATATAGAGATAAGCATGTATAATTTGTTCAATGAATAACCTCATGAAGACAAATGGTAGTTACAGCTACAGTACAGGGTGGAGCATAGCTCAAAATGGACCCTTATTACCAATTATGTTTTCAAGAGGGTGAAAAAGGAATTTTAATTTGTTTCCGGTCAGTTGATTAGTAGGTGTAGTCAGTTAGTTTTAGGTGTGGTCAGTTAATTACAGATGTAATGAAGATCAAGGTTAAGTAATAAACAGCCTAAAATTTCCATTGGCTTCTCTACTTCATCACGTCTAACGATTTGTTTGGTAACTCCTAACTCAAGTGCTAAACTCCTGATTCTCCCAACATTGGTCCCGATGTGGAATCATAGGTGATTCTTAGTGTCAGTGAGGCTTAACAGTAGGAAATCGAAAAAGAATAATGATGACAAATTTTTTTTTTCTTGAAACTGCTAATGACCTGTCTTTATTAGCAAAAAAACTGTCAATTATTTCATTTCACACGCTGTTTTATGTGAAGAAAAAATCAAATGTGTCGACACAATAAACAAACCAAGTACTAACGATATTAAACCTGTTTAATTTGTTGCAAATATTACGATGAATTATAGATGTAAAAAACACAAAGTACAAATATTGATTTAGTTTGATTTTATGTGGTTTCTGATTATTTTGTCGTTTTAAATATTTTCAAAAATTTCTTGGTTTTAGTCGCACCAATTTACGAGAGTTATTCTTTATATTTTCAGAATTCCATCCGGCACAATCTATCTTTACATAGTCGCTTTATGAGGATCCAGAATGAAGGCACTGGTAAAAGCTCATGGTGGGTTATTAATCCAGATGCCAAACCTGGCAAAACACCTAGACGTCGAGCAGGCAGCATGGAAACAAAAAGTTACGAGAAAAAACGTGGTCGTATTAAGAAAAAAGTGGAAGCTTTACGTGCGGCATTAGAAAATAGTAACAGTCCTACGTCAACCACTGATGATTTCCTTGATCCAACCTTCGCATTTCAGTTAAATGACTTTAGACAGCGTTCTAGTTCTAACGCCAGTAGTTGTGGTCGCTTGTCTCCGATTCAAGCTGGTATTGAATCTGATCTCAATGACAATCAGGTCCCTCCAATGTCACCGATACCGTGGGGGCAGGAACTAGAAAATGGTTTTGGCTATAATTCTGGGGATGGTTTTACTGATCAGTTAGTGGATTCACTGGTGGATGGGATGAAATTGGGTGGAGATCAATCAGGAATAAATATGTCAGATTCTATGGATATTGGTGAGCAGTTTTTACAGACAAATCCAAATAACGTGGAGTTCAATCAAAATGGAAATTTTAATGGTACAAGCCAATTCAACACTTTGCCTGCCCCACCTCCCTATCCAGAACGGGCAAATATTCTGACCAGTTTAGATCGTGGAAGCCCCGTAACAAATGGTGGTAGCTTCATGCAGAGAGCAACACCACCAATTTACCGTAATAGGGCAGAGTTATATCCAGATAATGTAATGAGTCCAGCTATAAATGGACAATCCCAAATCAGTTCACCAGTTAGATCTCCAGCAAGAGGCAGTCCACAGAACTTCCCCAGTAGGTTAAGTCCATTAATGACCAACCAAGTATCACCTCAAGGACACCAGATCTCTCCACAAGGACGGCAGTTGTCTCCTCAACATGTTGGTCATGTACCTGGAGGACCCAGTGCAAGAACGCTAACAGCACTACAACAACATCTACAACAACAGTCCAACAACGACTCCATCCTGCGAGCTGCCTTGACTCAGGCTCCAATGGCCTTTCAGCAACCCACCACTACCACAAATAGCCAACCTTTTCAACAGCAGTCGTTTCAGAATGCCTTTCCAAACATAAATGGACAGGTTGGGTCAATTAATGCCAACATGATGAACCAAACTGGATCTTCTGGAGTACACCGTGACCAACAGAACTTGCCAACAGAATATACCCATGGCAACCACACTGCTTTAACTAGGCGCCGTAGCAGTAATACTGGATTAGATATAGATATAGACAATCTTATAGCTGGACTAGATTATGATGTGGAATCCATAATAAAACAGGAATTGACTCTAGAAGGGAATTTAGATTTTAATTTTGAATCCAATTCCCAGCCAGGAGGTCGTAACACGGTCCGATGATGATGTAGGGTTTTAATGTGGTCAAATATAAATAGAAACTGTGTTACTGTTGACTGCTTTGTGAGCTGCTTGCCTTCTTCACAGTGTTCTGTGCATGTTCAGTGTGATTGAGCTTAGAATGGATGGCCCCCACCTAAATAAGAACTTGCTGTTCCTTGAGATGGATCCTGTGGTGTGCTAACATAATAAGAAGTGTAAAGGAACAGTGAAAAAACTATTTGCCTTGTGGAAAAACAAGGAACATGGGCATATCAAGATATGTGTGTGTCAAGGAACATAAGAGCATGATTGTGTCAAGGAACATAAGTGCATTATGTTCAAAGTACAGGATGAATGCCCTGTCAACTGTGTGATAGTAACAAGGAACATTACTGTGTGAGTTTGTCAAGGAACATAATTGTGTAATGTTCACAGAATGATATGAGCATATTAATCCTTGTAATGCTATGGTGTCAAGGAAAGTAACTGTTTGATGATGTCAATTAACATAATTGTGTGATGATATCAAGGAACATAATGATGTCATGTTCATAGTATAGAATAAGCATATTAATCTGTGTGATGCTATTGTGTGGAGGAACATAACTGTGAAATAGTGTCAAGGAACATAATGTAATGTTCATAGTACAGAATGAGCATATAAAGCATAAAATGTTCTCAAAATGGATGTGAGCATATCTAGAAACATAAAATGTGCTCATGTTGATGCGAACACGCCAAGGAACATGCGCTGGAGAACCAGTATGTGATAAATCTTGGTCAAATTCATGGACCCTGAGTTTTGCCTTCTTGTGAAGAAGAGTAGTTTGTAGGCTAGTGTTGATATAGGGCATCATGAGGGAGAGTACATTAAAGGAACATTATTATGGGTAAACTTATTGAAACTTGTACATATTTTACTTCCAAAGAACCTTCAGAAATCATGTTGGATTTTGGGAGTTCTTCATAATAATAGTGTTATTTTCTCATCAAGTTAGTTATAGTTTTGTGAATAGTTCTATATATATAGTTACGTTATACTTGTTATGTTATTCAAAATATATATATATATATATATCGTTTGAAGCAGTGCTATAGTGCCAATAAATGAATACTGTATATAGAAAACTCAATCATCTTGGGCTGTTTTGTTTTCGTTGTTGTGTTCTCCTGAGCCATCGTGATAATATGGACTTGTTCAGATTTTAGTGCTTTGAATAACAAGATAAAGTGCTTTTAATTACGATTGCTCGTGCTTTTTTTTATGTGAAGAAGTGTTAATGAGGAAAGTTGTTTGTTATGGTACATAATAATGTTGGTACATTATATATACCACTGCAGTGACTGGTCGTTTAAGACTCAATGTGGCTGGATGACAGAAGTTGTGGACAAATATGAGGGTGTATATGACAGTATTTAATGTTTTTAGAGGGTTATTGCAGAATATAATATACTAGATGAAAAAATTACCTGATATATTTTCTAAAACCTAAAAAATCCTACAAGGTCCCACTGTTATATTAAGTAGTAAAGTTAAGTTAAATGTGGACACTTTTATTTACAATAGGTTGTTTTTGCATTCACAGAAACTAAATATTTGTCCAATTACATTTGAAACCAATCCCCTTACGTTCAAGAAATTTCATACCAAAAATTGGAAATTAGCTAGAATTTTGTATGAAAGGTATATATTCATGTAATATTTGCTTTGTCAGCTTATATCGCTCCAAAGCACATATTTCAATGATTGTATCCCTTTTAATTAAGCCAGCTTAAGAAGCTAATCATCATTTTCAGGCAAAAATGTCCAAATATTAAAGCTCTTCATTGATGGAGGTTATTTTGGGTGTCACTCTCAACCTTGAATTTATGTTAATCAGGCCAAATTATCATATTGTTTTGTTTCAAATGGCTAGATTACATCTACCTTGTCAGCTTGATTTTAATAACTATCTTTATATCAACGCTCAAAACCAGATGGACCAGTTGGTCAATTCTTGAATGGTCAGTTACACCACGTGAGAAACTGTTTGGGTCAAGCCCTTTCTACTATGTGAACAAATGAAATTTTCTTCCCAAAATAATCCTCCAAGTTTGAAAATTGATCGTATTCTCAGATCATTGTGATTTCGAAATTGAATTTTTTCTAACATTTCATAAAACTTAGTCATTTATAGACTGCAAATTCCCTTTAATCTGGAAAAATCAAATAATGTCAGCATTAATTTGTTCATTCAGGAGGGAACTTTCATCAATTCAAAAATAAACTTAGATTCTTTGTATTACCCCTTTTACATAGGCCCCGATAAAGAGAACCTGGCCCGGATCGGTGCCTGGCACGATCAAAACGTCTGTTTACACTGGCGTTCTGTGATCGGGGCCAGGACCACTTTAAACGGAAATAAGGGTGCGCTCTCTAATTAAAAAGAATACAAAAGGTCCACATTAATGGCCGCCGACACGGAAGTTGTAAAACCCTGCACATGCGCAGAAGAATTTTTAGACGGAGCCAGGCACGCATTCGTTTTACACTAGTAAAATTGAAGTGGGCCATGCACCGATCCGGACCTGGCCCACCTCTTATTGCAGTGCCAGGCCCCAATTTAATTGGCTTGCTTTATTCCGTTTACACTAGTAAAATTGAAGTGGGCCCACTTTATCGGAGCCGAGTTTAAAAGGGGTATTTGTATCATTTTGTATTGATATTTGAATTCGTATACACGTAACAAAATAACAAATTCCGGCATAATTTTGGCTTTATTTTACTTAATGCCTCTATTATCTAACTGCTGGTGGTAAATGAATATTTCAAATAATAAATGCCTCTCAAGAAGGTGAGAAGATACAAATTGTTGCTGCTGTATTGGCAAAGTTTCAATTTGGCATTTTATTTGATTATACTATATGACATTACTGTCTCTATTAGATGATTAAGTTACAGAACAGTTGAGTGAAGAACTCTCCTGAATTGAAGTTAAAATAAATGACAGCCTTGGCAATATGGCATATCTATTAAGGGCACAGAGAAACTGATATAGTACAAAAAAATTTTGAATTTCAGAAGCACTATCATCTATACCTAATTCAAAATTCTGAGCTTTGAGGATATTTTGGAAATTTGGCTATGCGAACAATTTTAATAACCCTTTGAACATTGAAAATCAATATCATATACCTTGAGCTCTCATATACGAGAGTATGAATTCAGGGTTATGTACATAACATTACAAAAACTTAAATTTTATGGTTGGTTTATCAATCTATATTATTCAAATTTTGACCTAGGTGATATTTTGTGGCTCTGTGGGCAGATTTTTATTAACCCCATGGGCGAAGTGTTAAAAGTGTCTGTAAGCTCTGAAGGTTGAATTATATGAAATAAACGTTATCTACATTTTCCGCTTTCCTTCAAACTTTGAACTTCAAAGGGTTAACCATTCGTGGTATCTTTGTGGGAAAATTAAATTTTATTACTCTGGCCTTGGCTTGATTAAAATTTTATTATGACTAGCTTTATGTTTCACAATGAAGATTGAAATAAATTAAAACACAAGAGGAAATAGTGAGTGACCTCATTAAACCCTGATGATTAAAAAGGTTGACACATAAAAACATCACTGACATCACCTTTATATCTGTTGCTGAACTTTCTATAACATTTCCACCAAACAATTCATGAGCTCTAAAAATAGATTTTCACAGATTTTTTTAGCCTCCAAACAAATCATATTATTAGATTTTACTTCTTGATAGCTTAAGTTTTACAAACTTCTTAGAATAAATGT